CTCCATTCCTGGGAATGGGGACCCCCCTGCACCCCCTGATTCAGCACCCAGACCCCCCTGAACCCCCTTCTCTGGGACTGGGATCCCCTGCACACCCTTATTGGGCACTGGGACCCCTCTGAATTTCCATTCCTGGACACAGGGACCCTCCTACACCCCGTGTGTGGCAGTAAGACCCCCTGAACCTCCATTCCTGTGCACAAGGACCCCCCTGGACCCCCTTATCCTGCACCAACACCCCTTGCACCCCCTTTCCCAGCTATCCCACCTCTCCCAGACCCCAGACTCAGCTTTTCCTTGACCCTGAGACCCCCTGGACCCCCTTTCCTGGGCACAGGGACCCCCTGGACTCCCCATCCCACCTCTCCCTGTCCCTGCACCCCCCTTTCCTTGATCCTGGGACATCCTGAACCTCCATTCCTGGGAGTGGGGACCCTCCTGAACCCTTTATCCAGCATTGAGACCCCCTACAGCCAATTTCCCGGTCATCCCGCCTCTTCCAATTCCCAGATGCCCCCTTTTCCTTGATTCTGGGACCCCCTGGACCCGCATTCCCAGCAATCTCACATCTCTCCACTTGTCACCCCCTTTCCTCAACCCTGGGGACCTCTGGGCCCCGTTTCCTGGGAAGAGGGACCCCCTGGATCCCCCCATTCCACCTCTCCCAATCCCTGTATCCCCCTTTTCCCTGATGCTGGGACCTCCTGGAACCCTCAATCCTGTGCAATGGGACTCCTGCCCCCCCTCCCCCAGCACTGACACCCCCTGCACCAACTTCCCTGGGATCCCCAAACCCCCTTCCCGGATCTCCCAGTTCTCCCAGTTCCCCCTTTCCTTGACCTGTGACCCCCCTGGACCCCCCAAATCTCCGTGTCCCCCCAGTTATCCACTCCCTGCGTTACCTGTCTGTGGCAATGACGAAGCCCAGCCCAGGGATCCCTCAATTCATGGAAATTGGATACCTGGATGGGATCCCCTTTGTTCGCTACAACAGCGAGAGGCGCCGGGAGGAGCCGCAGACGCCGTGGATGGCGGCTGGACCTGAGCCGGGATATTGGGATAGAGTGACCCAGCGAAATGAGAGGAGCCGGCTCGTGGCTGCTGCTGCCCTGGAGACAGTGGGGGCGCGGTACAACTGGAGTGGGGGTGAGTGGGGGGATGTGTGGGGCTGGGATGGGATGTGTGGGAGTGGGATGGGTCTGTGGGGCTGGGATGGGATGTGTGGGAGTGGGATGAGTCTGTGGGGCTGGGATGGGGATCCAGGGCACTCCAAGGGGCTGGAATGGGATCTGTGGGTCTCTATCAGGCTCTGGGGCTTCATAGGGCTGGAATGGACCTCTGTGGGGCTGGGACGCAATTCCAGGGTCTCCATGGATCTGATCCCGCCCCCCAGGTCTCCACACGTGGCAGCGGCTTTATGGCTGTGACCTCCTGTCTGATGGGAGCGTCCATGGATCCTATCGGGACGGCTACGATGGACGGGATTTCATCTCCTTCGAGCTGGGATCCAGGAGCTTCGTGGCGGCCGATGGAGCTGCCCAGATCACCAAGAGGAAATGGGAATCTGATGGGACTGTGGTGGACCATTTCACCAATTACCTGGGGAGCATCTGTCCAGAATGGCTCCGGAAATACGTCGGATACGGGCGGGAGGCGCTGGAGCGCAAAGGTGAGGGAGACAGAATTCCCATGGGAATGTGGGATTCGGGAATGTGGGATTTGGGAGGGTGGAACTGAGGAACCCGGGCATTCCTGTGGGAATTCCGTGGATGAATCTGAGTCATCCAACTCCCATGGGAATTCCATGGATGGATCCCACTGTTGTTTCATTCCAATGGGAATTCTGTGGATGGATCTCACTGTGGTCCCATTGCCATGGGAATTCCATGGATGGATCTCACTATTATCCCATTCCAGAGCCCCCTGATGTCCACGTGTCTGGGAAAGAGGAACACGGGATCCTGACGTTGTCCTGTCACGCGTACGGATTCTACCCCGGGATCATCGGGATCAACTGGATGAAGGGGGATGAAATCTGGGATCAGGAGACGGAGTGGGGCGGGATCGTTCCCAACAGCGACGGCACCTTCCACAGCTGGGCCAGGATCGAGGCGCTGCCGGGGGAGCGGGAGCAGTACCGGTGCCGGGTGGAACACGCCGGAATGCCGGAGCCCGGGATCTTCACCTGGGGTGAGCCTGAGCAATGTGGCAACTGGGCATGTGGGAACGAGGAATTTGGGAGTGTGGGGCAGCGGGATGGGGGTAACCCTCCCCCTGCCCACCCTCCCGCCCTTCCCAGAGCCGGAATCCGTCTGGAATTCCACCCCGGTGTTGGTCGCTGTGTCCGTCATCGCTGCCATCATCGTCATCATCGGCCTCATCGCAGTCGGTGTCTGGAAGCTCCGAGCCGGTAACTCACGGGATGGGGGTCGGGAAGGGGCCCGGATCCGCCCGGCAGCATTCCGGGTATCCTGTGCCACGGGTGCTGATCCCGCTTTCTTTCCGTAGGGAAGGGAAAGGGCAATGGATACGACCCCGCACCCACCAGTGAGTACCAGCAGCGTGGGTGGATCCAGATCCTCCCTGCAGGGATGCCAGGATGGATCCCGGGATTCCAGAGGGGATTTGGGGCATAATGGATGGAGCGGGATTGGAACGGGATTGCACCTCAGGGCAGGATTGCAGAGTGGGATCAGGTGGAATTGTGGGCTGGGATCAGGGCTGGATTCTGGAGTGGGATTGGGATGGGATGGATGGAGCAGGATCAGGAGGGAATCCGGAGCAGTTGCTGCTCTCCATGGGCTCCCCAGCTGGATCCATCCCCTGGGATGGGAACAGGGCCATGGGGACTCCTTTCCCCGCTCTCATCCCGACAGAAATCACAGCCTAAGTGATCATGGAGCTGGATCCGCCCCTTCCCTGTCCCTGTGGAAAGGCAGGAGCTGCTGGCAGAGCTCATCCCGCTGCTTCCACCCAGCCCGGCCTCCCTACGGCTCTTCCCAATGGATCAACATCCTACTTTCCCATCTGTGAAACCCAGGAGCACAATTATTGCTGAGGCTTTAATTGTGGAGTGAAAATCTCCTGCTTTGGGCAGCAAATCCTGGTTCCCTCCTCTGGCATCCAGCAGTTCCTCTCTGGGAACCAGGAATGGGAATGGGAACAGGGATGGGAATAAGGACAGCAGGAATGGGAATGGGGACAGGGATAGGAATGAGGACAGGGATGGGAATGAGGACAGCAGGAATGGGAATGGGAACAGGGATGGGAAAGTGTCTCTCCCGAAGCTGGTTCAATACAAAGGTCGGTCCCTCACTCGAGGAAGCCCCTTCTTTGGGAATGTCTGGGAACCAGGTGTCAGAGGTTTGCAAAGAGCTGCTGGAATGTTTTCCCAGTGTTGTCCCCCATTCCCCCCATCTGTGTGTCCGGGATGGGGTGGGGACGGAGCCGCAGGTGCTGGGCAGCGGCAGTGGGGACAGGGCAGCTCTGAGGACACCACGGTGGCCGCAGGGAGGGCGAGGAGTCCTTTGTTCGGGGCTCTGGGGCTTTGGCCGGCCCCGCCCGGAGCAGAGTCCGGTTTTTGGCCGCCTCTTTTGGGAAGTTTTGTTTCCCCACGGGACACCTCGTGCAGGACGAGCGAGAGAGAGACCGACCCATCTCGGAGCGAGGGGTTCTGCTTTGGCACTGCCTGGGGGACAAAAGGCCCTTTCCAGGCTGGCTGCGAGAGCTTTGACCTGTCGGCACAGCCCTGCCTTTCCCCTGCCCCTGCCCGGCTTGCCGCGGGTTTCTCCCCCACCTGGGCATTCGGGACTTGGTTTGGTTTCTTTGGAAAGGTTTTGGTGGCACCGTTGGTTGTTTGTTCAGCTTTTGGGAATAAAAAGCTGTTTCTTTTCCTTTCCCACACTTCCACCTGAAGTCTCTTCAATTTGAAGTTGTAATCTTGGTAAACTGGGACACCAAGTTTGGAGAATCCCCAGCCCTGGAACCTGTGGGTCAGCACTCGGCATTTCACTCCCAGGAAACACTTGGATTTAGGGAAACTTGGAGTAAATTTGGGCTTGGACTTCCCTCTGGTCAATATTTCCCGATTCTGGGAATAAATCCCGATATTCCCTCTGGTAAAACTGCCGGATCTCTGTCCCTGCTGGAAAACCAACTGTGCCATGGGGGAGGCTTCTCCGGAGGAAAAGGGAAAAGGGAAAAGGAAAGGTGGCCTTTGGGGCTGTCCCTGCAAACCGGGCAATCCTCTCTGGAATCAGCTTTAATGACCCCCTCGACATGGCCCAGGAACCAGAGAGGCCCTGGCTGGGAAAAGGGAAGAGTGAGGATTGAAAGCAAAGAAATAAAAAGATATCAAGAAATACATCAAATTATATATTCAGAGAAAAAAATTATACATATAATTAAGTAAAATTATATAAATGGATAAAATTAATTATAGAAATAAATAAATCAAATTACAGAAATTATTAAATAAACAAATAATTAAAATTATATCAACAAAGAAATCAGATTATATATCCAATAAATCAAATTATATAAATCAATAGATGAAAATATATATGCTAATAATTAAAATTATATAAAAATTAATTATGAGTAAATAAAGAAATGAAAGATAAACTAACCGTAAAAATTAAAGAAATATATAAAACTATTTAAGGAAGTAAATAAAATTATATATTCAAAGAAACAAAATTATATATATAAAATTCAATCAAATTATATAAACAGATAAATCAACTTATATAAAGTTGTATAAACAAAGACATTAGATTATTTATGCTGATAAATAATATATTATAATATATAATTGAATAAATCAAATTATATACCCTAATAACTAAAAATATATAAACAAATAACTAAAATCAATTAAATAGAATTAAATAAGCTAACGGTTACAATTAAACAATTAAATATAAATATAAAAATTAGTAAAATAAAATTATATAAAAATGAATGAAATTATAGATGCTAATAAATAAAATATGACCAAATAAATAAAATTATATAAAGAAATATTTAAAATGTTAGAACAAATAATTAGATACAAGTACATTAAATTATATAAACAAATATAATGATAAACAAATAACCTTATATAAACAGATGAATGAAATTATATATGCTAATCAATAAAATTATATGATTAAATAAAATTGAATAAAAATATTAAAAATTATAAAACAAATAATTGAAACATTCTTCACAATTGAAAATTTAAAAATATAATAATTATATAAGCAAATAAATAAATTAAACAAGCAAATAAATGACTTGACAAAATTATATAAAACAACAAAATGAATTATAGAAATAAAGAAACAATTAATATATAAACAGATAAAAATACATACTACTAAAGAAATAGATAAATAAATAAAATATAGAGACAAACAAGGAATAAATAAATAAGCTGTAGAAATAAACACATAACAACAAGAAAATAAATACAATATACAAATAAATACTAGAATCCAACAAATCCGTAAAACCAATGAAACCAAACCAAGAGCCTCGCTCAGCACTGAGGCTCCGGGGGGTGACTCCAAAAAAACAGCCGGGAAGAACCTCACCGGGGGGTCTTCTTTACACTGCCCTGTGTAAATAGCATGAAATATAGAGAATAGAATAAATGGAATAAAATATCTGCGCGGAGGGGTTTCCACCGCCTGGTACCTAAAAGAGCTGCACCGAGGGAGCACCGGGGCGGCCCCGGGGGGTGTGAGGGAGCGATGAACGGCCCCGAGGGGCCTCTGCTGCTCCATCCACTGAAAGTGCGGCCCCGGGGGACGGGTGGGGTGGGGATTGAATAAAGTACAGAGAATATTGTAAAATAAACAGAATAAAAAGCTGCCGGCCCGTGTCACCGAAAGAGCGGCCCCGAGGGACGGGCGGGTGTCAGAGAGTCTCCAACACAAAGCTGGTGCATTTTCCCGCCTTGGCAGAGCCAGCCTGCCTGGATAGCAGCAGCTCAACCCACCGACACCCTGCAAAGCTCTGCCCGGAGCCAAGCTGGCCGCTGAGCGCCCACCGGGGGGTGTTTAAGGCAGTGCCCAGCGCTGCCCGAGGGGCCGGTCCAGTGCAGGCGGTGTTGCCCAGGGTCCCGTGCTGGCTGCGGCCCCACTGCTCGCTCTGTCCTGCTCGTGTCCCACCTGCCTGCGTCTCCTGGTTGTCTCGGATCCAGTCTGCTCACGCCCTGCTTCCCTCCCGCGGCCCTTCTCTGACTGCCTGAGGCTGACCACACCCGCTTCTCTCACTGGTGCTGGTAACTTTTAGCATTTTCCTTTTGCAGCCTTTCCTTTTCCTTCTCTCTCCCTCTCCTCCCCGCCCCCGCTTTTCCCCTCTTACTTGTTGTTATCCAAAAAGCAAATTGTCTGTTTGAGGCCTCACGTTTGGAGTTTTGTGCCTTAATGTCGCCCTCGAAGCCATCCCCTAAAGAACCCCGTCTCAGCCCCTGACCGGACTGGAACAGCGGGCGCGGCCCGGCCCGACCCCTCCACCCGCGCCGGGAGCGGCGATGCCCGCGGGCCCGGCCGGGGCCGAGCGGCGGCAGCCGGAGCAGGGGAAGCGGCTGCAGCGGCGGAGACGAGCGGGGTGTTCCCAACCGGGTCCGCTCCGCCC